CTAGGGTTATTCGAAAGATTGCATCACGAAGTCAGACAAGATAATGTGACAGAAAGATCATGAATATATGCCATTCAAATATTAAACAGATTTATCTCATCCGAATACTCAGTAAGTTTGTAGCTATTTCAAATTAACTAAAATAAGAGCAAAAAACTAATATTGTTGAATAATCTCATCGTTTCTAAGAATAAAGGATCTGAGACAAATAAAGTATTTTGCCCCACAGACATTGATGGTCTAATATGATCACCCTCGTCATCATGTGTGCATATCAGCAGAATCTACCGTCGCTCCACATTTTCAATTACGACCCTAAGTGTCTCCAGTCCCCAATAATCCGAGGTCAGGATGTTGAAAATTTTAGACCTGAAATCAGTAAGATAATATATCCGTTTCGAATAAATGCAAAAAGCAGATATACAGCATTTCAAAAAGGGTATATTGTGTGTGAACCGAGACATTCAGAACAGGAGCTGTTCGTGGATGAAAAATTGTGATGATTGAATGATTTCAATGTGAGGATCTAGCCACAGTGCGTTGCAATACTAACTTTAAGGTGGTCACATGCTTTAACGTAGCCTATCTTGAATGTGGTTCTTTAGAGTCTTTGAGCATACGTACACTTCTATGTTGTAATGTGAGGCAGATCTGTATATTTACAAAACTCTTACTAATCTGAGTTGTGTTCATATTTCAATCATGCATCGTCGACGTAATCGGAAGATCAAGAGAACGTTTTTGATGTTTTCCTGTTCATGGTTTAGAAGGGACTTTTATATTAGTTTACTAAACTTCATTTGTTTTGCCTTGGTCCTGATTTCATCAGCTTACAAATAATTGCTCTTATATAGTGTTTTGTTTTATTTATTACTTTCTGTTTTGTTACGGTGTTGAAGTATTTATTTAAAGCATTATTCGCACTTAAACAACATGTTTAATAATAATAATTTGTTCTCAAATAACATTTCGTTACATGAGGCATGCCAGTTTACAGGCAAGATCAAATTGTCATAAATGATACAATTTCCAACTGTAGTAAATTACTCAGATGGGTGGATAATTTATAAGATATGAATGTAGGATGGTTTTAGCCAGTATCACAGTTGGCGCGCTTCATGAAATTTGCGTTGAGACGTGCAACTGATTGTCGATAATAGATTCATGTGCATTTCAGGGCTTCTAGAAATCGCAATCTTATATCCCTTTGGAATATTTGAGACTTTAAGGATGGTGCAGGACGAGATCACCCGTTCCGTATCTCAAGGGGGCTGAAAAATGGTGCTAGAAAAAAAGAAAACAAAAAAGGACGAGAAGCAGAGCAGATGATGTTCATGAAGAAATAGTTAAGGTATGACTACTCAGTCTGATTCTCTTTTAATAAAGTATTTAGTAAGCAGGAGCATCCTAATAAGTTAAAGAAAATAGTTTATATCATTGATTTTGTGCTTAGTTATGTCTTTTGAATAAGTAGGCTTTGAATATCTCCCTTTTCTGTCAAGAGCATTCTTTTGGTTGGAGAATATTCATCAAGTTTGAGCTATGTTTTCTTATAATAATGATAATTAGTAAAAATGTTTCTGATGCTTCTGTTAATATGAATAATATACCACATCATGTTGTGAAGATGACTAAAAAAGCCCAACCTGGAAATTATAGGATTGCAAAGATACCGATTGAGTCATTCAAAAATGTCTTTTTTCAATGCACTAACGGGTTGGTATTTAAAGAAAAAAGAATAATCAGAATAAAATAATAAAAATGTCTATTCTTGATTCAGTATGCTGATTATCCATAAAAGCCAGTCCGGCAACAAAAAACACTGAAAAGTATAACCTCTAACCTTGTGAGTGAAGTCACAATTGACTGCTCAACTTTGGAGCAAATTGAACTGATCTTTCTTGATTTTCAAGTACTTGTTGATTGTACAGACCCGGTTCGATCATATTCAGGTATCGTGCAGTCTTACTGTTTATATGTATACAGAAAATGCTGGGATTCTAAAAATCCTGAACATAATTGTTTCATTCTGTACAATTTTAAGACAGACTACAATACATAAAGTCGTTTAGCAGGTTGCTCGTCCACTGAGACCTTTTACAAATCAGCTGCTCAATGGTTTTCTCCTTGTCTCCAAAAAACTTCCCGATTGTTTCCTTTGTCTCCGCATATTCTATTGTCTGACGCTTAGTGAATTACTAGTCCAAGGGACAGTCAAGTTTTACGATGATACTTAAAAATTAATTTCTATTTTGTCGAAGTAAATTTCCCTTAATCCAAAGAGTAAATTGCCTTGTGCAAACAAGCACATATCCAAACAGCTCTAAGATCGAATTAAGTACGTATCACAGAGAGACAATCATTCAAACACAAACAACGCGGCAAAATATATCATATATAAGATCCCCTTCTAGGTGACTGGCACGATATTGGCTGTTTCGTAACTTTTAATTTGCGGAGCCTAAAATATTCAATCTTACACTAGTCTGATTATCAGGGTTTCACTTGTGTGTAGCTAGCTCTTATCAATTTATTTGTGCAACAAGAGGCCAACATAAGCCTGTTTTATCTCCATAACATTACTTTTTTACTTACTTACTTACGCCTGTTACTCCCAATGGAGCATAGGCCGCCGACCAGCATTCTCCAACCCACTCTGTCCTGGGCCTTCTTTTCTAGTTCCATCCAATTCTTGTTCATTTTTCTTATATCTATTTCCATTTCTCGGCGTAATGTATTCTTTGGTCTTCCTCTCCTCCTTCGGCCTTGAGGATTCCATGTGAGGGCTTGTCTTGTGACGCAGTTCGGTGCTTTCCTCAATGTGTGTCCTATCCACTTCCAGCGTTTCTTCCTGATTTCTTCCTCCACTGTGATCTGATTTGTTCTCTCCCATAGTAGGTTGTTGCTAATAGTGTCTGGCCAACGGATCTGAAGTATTTTGCGTAGACAACTGTTAATAAACACCTGTATCTTTTGGATGATGGATTTCGTAGTTTTCCAGGTTTCCGCCCCATACAGTAGAACTGTCTTAACATTTGTATTGAAAATTCTGACTTTGGTGTTGGTTGCCAATTGTTTTGAGTCCCCGATATTCTTCAGTTGTAAGTATGCTGTTCTTGCTTTGCCAATCCATGCCTTCACATCTGCATCAGATCCACCATGTTCATCGATGATGCTGCCCAGATGTGAAAAGGTCTCTATATCTTCCAAATCCTCTCCGTCAGTTGTGATTGGATTGTTGCAAGCTGTGTTGTATCGGCGAATCTTGCTTTTCCCATTGTGTATATTGAGACCTATTGCTGCTGAGGCTGCTGCTACACTGGTCGTCTTCTCCCGCATTTTTTGTTGCGTATGCGATTGTAGAGCCAGATCATCTGCGAATCTCTTTAACATACTTACTGAAATTCAGACATTTGGTCCTCTATGTTTTCGCATATCTCAGTTTGATTAAACACATGTATGCATCTCAATCTTTATTTATTATCTCATTTTTGTGAACAAACACAATCAATAATGTAATCTGCGTATTGATTAGCACATAAAGTTCACATGGATTCGTCCACTTTTACTCACTCACTTTCTGGTTCGCTTTCTCATCGCGTGATTATGGATTTCCTTAATTATTAACAGTACACGTTTTCCACAATAAATGGTGCTCTGGCTTCCGAAGACATTCTTGGTTATACCAAGAGAACTAGCACTCTATGAAGCACACTGTTGTAGTGTAGTTTGTTATGTTAAGCCCATATGCCTTATTCTAACTTTCGGACAGCCCAGTCTATTCATTCTACTTGAGTCACGTTTTGACCTTGGTAATTATCCGCTTATCAATCTTGACTGTTTTATATGAGCACGTAGGTGTATGTACACTTCTTATCCCATTACTCGTCACATGTCTGTAACTTACTTTTGTGTAACTACAAATATGTATGGATTTTTAACACTGACACACACTCTGTTTCATTGTGTGTTCGCTCGCTGTACGTTTGCGGATTTTAATAATCTTTAACGATAAAATATTTCCACAACTGGTGTTCAGGCTTCTGAATAATCTTGAGTAAATCCGCAACTCTACCAGGACATTTAGCCATCATTACATACTCAATTAACGAGATATCATTTATTAGAGTCAGGTATATAGGAAACTTGCCTCTACACTGTTAACGGACCATCACATCCTGGAGTCCATAAAAGAAGTGACGTCTACAAATGTCCACAGTCTGCGTAGTCCTCAGTTTATTTCGAGTTATGAAGCCTGATTCTGGTAATGGTACTTTTTAAAGTAGTGTTGAATTCAGTAATTTTCCATAGAAGTTAACAAAGATCTCCGGTTTTATGTTATTCATTCACAAATCAATATTTCCAAATATGTAAACGAATAACACCACTTCCTATCATGGGACGATGTTTTAGCTTCAGAGCCTTCAGCTGAGGAAAGAGCATAGTAAATTTTAGATTTTAAGCTTTAAGCGGACAGTCGTAATCCACGTACAATAGGTTTTTCCCAACTTACTGTAAAAATCAAAAAGCCTAGATTTGTACTATCTGTTCTGCATTGGAAGAGCGAAATTTTTTTGCAGCTTTGATAGATGTGACAGTATTTATAAAATGAAAATTTACGAAATTGCTGGAGACCATTATTGATAATCTTCAGAAGACCACGAACTCATTTTAGCTTAAATGTTACGTATAAATCGGATATCTTTTATAACTTACATAAAAGTAAATTGAGGTTTATGACATACACGCAACCCATTTGGAAGACTTCAAACATCAAGCGGCCGCCTTGAGGCAAACTTTCGAAGGTCGCATAAATAAAACTGCAAGCTACATTTTATTTCGTACCACAAAGTCATTCAAAAGCTCAGAAAGTAAAAGTTACCTTAAAAACAGACTTTTGAGTATGAAGAAGTAAGTATAGAAGTAGATTGACATAAGTTTCATCTTCGTCATCTTTCTCTTCGAAATTTAGTTTGTTTTAAACATTCAATGTAGCATAATATGACCTTAAATTTATGTCAAACTTATAAAGTAGTCCTGGGGTTTGCGCTCTGGAATAAATATATTTGTATTCACACGCGTGTGTCTCGTGTTTTGGAGTGCAGAAAATTCATTGAATAGGATGTTGATTGTTTTTATCTTATAATGGTTTACAAAAGGCAATAAAAATTTCAATTTTTTCATTTTGTTTAGATTTTTTCTAGACCATAAAAGATAATTCCATGAAGAGGGTACAACAGTAGATATTATGCTGTCCAGGACAGCTACAAATTTAATATTAAAAGCTTATAAACGATATCCGTACAATGATGTTTTTGTCGTTTGTCAAACTCATTTGTGCACATTTAAATCACCATTCAACATAGTACAGTGTTTTGTTAGGCCTAGTGGTTTTTTAGATGCATCAAAGTATTTAGTTTCAGCTAGAAAGCCGACATACAAAGCAGTTATTTTTGATAAAGATGGAACTATTGTTTGCTTTAACTCAATGTGGATGCCTTGGGCAAAGAATATTGCAAATAAGTACTGTCTTTACATAAATACTTATTTATCCGCTCCAATGATCAAGCATTTCTAGTGACATAGCTCAGGATATAAGGTTCGAGATATTGACCACTCTTGGGTGCTGCCCGAAAACTCACATTATCAATCCAGGTTAAAGTTTTTCTTTTTAATTCTTAACTTTTCAAAGGTGTTTTAGCTGAAGGTACTGAAGAACAAATAATACTTGCTCTGACAAACTTGTTAGTTTCTCACGGCATTACAAAAAGCATGGCTCAGTCCACCGTGTCTAAGCATGTAAAAGCATTATCACTTTCACCTGAGCACATTGTTCAGTTGGCTGATGTGAAAAGCATGTTAACTACTTTGAGACAGCACTCAATCAAGACAGCTGTATGCACATCCGACAGTCGCAAAGGTAAGTTGATCTTGTAAGAAGAGATATTTACTATTTTGACGATGTGTAAGTCACTGTATAATTGAAGATACAAGGACAAGAGCAAGTAATTTTAGCTTGTTAGTTATGGTTTGGTGTAGACGTAAGCACATACGCCTATTGAAAAAAGGTAGTTTGGCTTTAAAGCAATAAACACTGGAATATCTTTTGTAGCGTTGACACATCAGCATAATTTATAGCAAAAATCTTAAAATTTTTAAACATTTGAAAAAGTATCGTACCGACAGGCCCTGAAATTTCGGTTTCAAGTTTCAGCTATTTCATGATAACGTTACCAACAAAGATAAATGTAGAGTAATAAAAATAAAAATCACTAACAAAATGGTGGCAAGACCCTAAAACAATGATAATGGTGAGCTATTTATTAGCTTTTAAGCAACTTAAAACATTTTATATCTAAAATTTTGCACAAGTTTGACACAAAATACAAGTATTGTTAAAATTGCGTCTGCTGGAAACAGTCATTGACCAGGATTTGAGTTTTTTGGTAGAAATTGTGAACAATCAATATTTCAGTCATCTCAAACTTTAAAAGGTTTTGGCAGTATAAATTTAAAGAGACCAAACCCCTTACATGAATCTTGGTGGGAAGTTAAAAGGCTGAAAATCAAGTAAATAACAATTTTGTTTAGCAATATTTGGCTGTATTTAAAAAAAGTTCTTGGCTTTCAAGAGTAAAATAAAACAATGTATTACTAGATCGTCAATTAAATTTTGTAAGTAGTTTAGATTAGAAGAGACTAATGTGGTTTACTTTTATATAATTGTAGGGACAATACAAGCTCTGGCAGTTTTAGATGTTTTACATCTATTAGATGTTATTGTTTGCGGTGATGACCCTGGTAGACCTCCAAAACCACATCCAGATAACGCAGAATTTATATGTAAGAAACTTCATGTGTCACCTGAAGAGACAGTTATGGTAGGAGATACCTCGACGGATGTTGCTTTTGCAAAAGTAAGTTATGGTTTGAAAACAGGTCACTTTTACATGTTGAGCAATATTATAAACTCCAACGCAAAAAATTTAGGTGAAAATAATTGGCCTCTATCTGTTTAATCAATTTTCATCTAAAGTGATTTAATTCTAACAAACGTAAACAATGTACTGCTTGCATTACTTGCTGATCAACGAGTTTATTTTTGTGTTTCTAGGTTTTCAACAATACAAATTTGTTCTGCTTGCTGATAAGCAAATTTCATTGTTACAGGATTAATTAATGTTCAACAAAAATTGAAAAAAAGCTCTTATAAAACTAAATTTTAAACGTTTGTTAGTTAACTCTTAGAGAGATAAAGGGTGCCACTCTAATATTAAACTCAAAAACGCTAGTCTTAAAACAACTGTTGTACGAAAAGAGCAGACAGATGTTAAACCTCTCTGAACTTCTTAGCATAACTTATGTACCTTTCACGGTATAATACATCATTCTTAATAAATACTTCAAAATATTTGAGGCATAATAGTTCCTTTTTTACGTTTTACCCAAAGAATGCTAATCTAGGTTTGTGTATCGGTGTTTTAAGTGGGATCGGTCAACAAACTAGTTTGGAAGCAACTTGGCTTAAGCATTCTGAAATCGAGGGTAAAAACAACTTAAACGAGGCTAAATCGTTCCATTCAAAACCTAAGTTACGTATTGTGCCATCTGTGGACCATATATTGCCGATCGTGTTGCCTGATCTTAATCTACCAATCAAACAGATTTTACTCGATAACAGCATGTTAAATCAAAAGCTATCAAATCAAAAGTTTAAACTGGTTATTATTGACAAAGATGGGAGTTTTATTAATGTACACCCCCGTTGGGCTGAATGGTGTGAGAAATTATGCATGAGGTAAGTCACTGTTTGTGGTATTTTATATAAATTCTGAGGTGCTATTGAGATAGAAAGGGTTGTTATTGTTTATTCTGCTATCAAAACACAAACTAACATTATCATAACTTTATAGTTAGTAATGTAAACATCAACTCCACAAAAAATTAAATTCATGTTATGCTTTTGTTAATATTGTATCTATTATTTGTACGAGATATAACCATCAAATAAGTCAAACTGTTAAAATTTTACAGGCTATCTGACCCTGGATAATTAGCGGTAGACACTGAACAGTTTTTAATTTGATTATCTCAAGTTTTATTTGTTGATTTCTAAAATGTACCCAAAACTAATGCATCGTCACATTTTGTTCCACACTCAAAGTCAGATAATTGTATGGGATTATGGAATAAAAGTGATAAACATTGATGTTGTAATAAGTGGCATAATTGTGTGCAATAAACAACTGAATCTTCAGTGATTTCGCCAAACATTGTTTAGAATTTGAAACTTTGTACTTGGTTAAAAGGTTAGGTAACAATCATCGTAGTGTTAAATTTATTCAGGTTCGGTTTTGCAGGAATGGAAGTACTAATATAAGTTTAATGAATCTGATTTGCCGATATACTCTTTTTTTCAAACAAACCAAAAACATTCAAGCTTAATTTTTAGCAAAATCAAGGAATATATTTACCATGGGCAATTTATTGGCCAAAGTGGTTTCAAGATGCTATAAAAGTCTGGATCTGAATACTTTCAATGTTAGTTTTAACGGTAAAATCTCACTGTTTTTGTATAGAACTTTAGACTGCGGTAGGAAAACAACAGCACTTTGACAATAATTACGACAGAATAGGTGTAAAACACTCATAATCTATAGTGACGTTAGAATTTCGCAAATAATCAGCTGAGAAATGGTAGACAGAATATCCAAGTTGTATACAAACTCCATGCGGATATTTTTACATGTAGAACAAATGTAAATTTTTTGAAAACAAACGGGAAATATACTAAAATACAAACAGTCGTTTTTTGATGCCCATTATAGCAATCCATCCACAACAAACTATTTTGTTCACACCACTAAAAGTTCCATATTAGAATGAAATAGCTGTCTTGTACCCTTTAGTTTTAAGAAAATCTGGAAACAAGGTCAGTCTTCAACAACTACTTCCTTTAAATTAAAATTACACGGCCACAAATGTTTGTGGATTATGACCACTGTTCGTTTCTAGACATCATAAACCAGATAGCGTCTGATACTAAAATATCCACACATTTGTTTGGATGTTGTAGTTATTCTTAGTGAGGTGTTAGTGCACTAAATTTTTTTTCTTCTTATTCATGACCTGTTAATTCAGGCTAAGCGTATTGTTTCTATAAGCCCTCCAAAATTGGACATGTACGTCCTATGTTTATTAGGGTACCCACTTTTATTTAAGATTAGAAAAAGTACTAAATTAAAACCGGTTTTAATCTACGATCTAATGTCCGGCTATTTATTGCTGACTAAAATTTCGCACATCCTGTTAAACAAGTAATTTGATTGTGCACGTGTTTGTTGAAATTGTATATAATGTTGATCAAATTTGTTGTTTTGACAACAATACATCAAATAATGTTCACTTCACATGGTTGTGTTAGGAAGTAATATTCTGTCATCAAATGGGTTGATATTAAAAATAGTTTTAATCTAACACATCTAACTGTTGTAATAATCACCAAATATTATTTGAATATGGTTAAAATCTAGTAAAATTTAACTACATTACATCCACCTGACTCTTAGAAGTATGTTTTTGACTGTAATTAGTATTTCGACGTTATAAAAGAGTTGTAAAATATTATTAGTTTTACCATCTCATATGGTATCATACTTTTACATCACGTACAGGTGAAATACAATTTTAGCTTTATGAACAAACAAACATTCCCAATCGGACATTTAGTAATAGTTTAGTGAATAAGAACACAGGTGGGGATAATCAATGTATTTTATACAAAATTACAGAGTCCTGTCATCAATTGTGAGAACTGTACGTTCAATATTTCATTTGCGAATTCTTCATCAATTGTCTCAAACTTCATCGTTTTTCCATTGCCATAAAAATTGCTCTCTGTGTTCGTTCTCTTCATTTTGATCATTTCAACCTTCTGCTTGCAGGTTTTCCACTTTCGATTGTTGTTGCATACTACTTATTTCTGTTGACATAAGTAGCATATACCACAATGGTAGAATTGATTAAAAATCGATAAATATGAAAATTCTGTAGGAACACTAGCGTCATCAGAAATCTTAGAAAATTTGTGAGTGTTGACTTACTCTCTGTCAAATGCTCTACGTAGATGGGCCAGATAGGAGAAAGAACTTTACATACTTCTTTTAAGTACAAAGATAAGACTTCTGGATGTGGATTGCTGTGAATTGAAGGTGTTTAGAAGACGAGCCAGTGAACACTATAAATCATTTTTGTTAAAGAAGCTTAGAAAAAATACGTCATAGTCTTTTAAGCTTCCCTTACTTTAGATGATTCATATGTATTTTTCTGCTGCCGGATGAAAAATTCCTGCTGACCTATCAAGATTTTAGACAAGTATATTACCTATTTAAAATTAGTTTACCATAACTTAATTCGCTAAGAAGTTAATTGCTTTTATCCTGTGAGTATTTTGGAGTAACTTCATTCGGTGGCTAGAAATGCAGTTTTACAAGGTAGTGTAACTTAGCCGGATAGCATTTAATTTGTCTTTATGGCTTTAACAGTTCATTTGAACTTTATGGTTTTAAATACTCATTTGTTACAACTATTCTCAGTAAGTAATTTCAATTAAATTTGACCCATAGATTTCTCCTTCCTGAATATGTCAATGCAGTACTTCTTATTTGAAATCTTTGGTAGAATAAGCTTTTTGTTTTTCTGAACCCCATTCACTTTTTCTTCTGGGATTTAAGACATTTTGAGTTCATCCAAGCTAAAGTTAAGTGACGAAAAAACAATGAACAGCAATCCCGACAAGCTTCTTTAAAAAAACGTTCTCACTGTTTGTTTCACAATAAGTTAATGTTCGTAACCCGAAAACATTTTACTCCTAACATCTTACAGATTAGCGGAAAAAACGTCTCCTGATCTAGCATGTACATTTTTGAACATACTGGGTTACTCTTCTGAGACACGTAAAATATCTAATGGTATTTTAGCTGAAGGATCCATGGTGTTTATTGAACAGTGCCTACGGTACTTGCTCATACTGAAAGGTTACGGAGTCAAGGAGTCTGATCAGATAGTAAATCAGGTAAGTCATGGTTGCCAAATATATTTACTAACATGTAAGGTAGAAGGTTACAACAAAATAACTAGTGATGTTGGGTTCCAAACTTGTATCCTAAATCCAAACAAAATGTTATAAAATTATGTTTCAATATGACATAAGTCTTCATAAGTTTACTATGTGAAACAATTATGTCTCACTAGTTGACAAAATTTCACCAAAGATACAAAATACTAGTTAGCTTCTATCACATTGCACCATCTGAGGCCCAGGTCAGATTTTAGTTCTTCTATTAAAAAGTGTCTGTTATACAGAGGTATTCTGTGCATTGCACAATATGTCTATGGGGCCCTCACGTATGGTGAAGCGACAAAATAAACAGTGTTAAAAATAATCGCCAGACACTAGATAAATGTTTTACACTTGTTGATAAAGTTATGGGTTTTTGTCGAATGAGGTGCTAGGGATTCATGTTCTTATACCTATCAACCACTTAATACAGCAAATGATGATTGCTCAGGTTAGGAGAAGACTGATGAGTCCGAAACAGAAGTAGGGCATTATCCCACAAAGTCACTACCTGTTGTGTTAGGGTTTATCAGAAGGTCCACTCTTGCTAGTTAAGATCATTTTTGAAGCTGTAGTTAGCAGGTGGTGTCCGAGAGTAGAGTTTATCAAAATCGTTGGCAAGAGCCTGGATGAATTCATCGTTTAGAATTTCCGCGTAACCCCTGTTTTTAGACTTAGTTAATTCTAGTGTGGATCTATTCTTTAAGTCAACTTTTTGAAATATAAGCGATATTTTCATTTTTGATGCTTTTAGCTTTAACTAAATGATTTCATTTCATCATAATGATAAAAGTGTAGTGAACTGAAACGATTCATGTTTTCATCAGGTCCTGCATCGTTTCTAGAAGGTTTATATTTCAGCGGATATTTTTAAATGATAGGGACTTTTCCTAATAAAATACACTTAAATTTTTCGAAATGTTTTCGTCTGAATATCATTAAGGGATATCCTTAGGCATGACTAAATGTGTTTTTCCCATCGGTCTGTTTCTCCGTTATGCACTTGTATTCATCCTAATGAATTATTTAAATGTAGAAACTAAAAGGGAGTTTTTGAATATCACCATTAAGAGTAGCTATCATCAATATGTGCTGTGTATTTTAAAACTTCTGTCATTATTATTACTATTACTGTTATTTTAAATACGTTTCGTTCCACCAATTTTCCATCTTTGTTTTGATGTGCTTTGCGGCAATCTGGCTTGTGCCTGGTTAGCTATGTTTCTAGCTTGCTTAGTAACTGAGGCAAATTTCACAGGATTATTCAGTAGGAGCAACTACTTAGAGTGCTTAGACGAACAATAAAAGTTAATCGAACTCTTATCCTTCTACAAAAAGTCGCTATAAAGGTACTGTACTACTATTTCTAGAGTAGTGACCATCCTTCGAAGAAACCAACTGGCATATTTTCTCGGTTGTTTCAAGGAGACTTGGACTTCGAAATTGAAAAAACTCAGCTCGACATAGAGCACTTTGTAGAAACTTTGAAGTCTACAGAGATGATGGACCAATAGCTAAACTTACGTTTTCTGAGATTCGTTACAGCCACTACCATCATACACTTAAAACAAGCTGTGTGTCTTCTGAAGGAAATAGTTATTAGTTTTCTATTTCTTCGGTAACCTAATCCTCAACCCTTCCTCGTACATAGTTGCATTATATTTTAATTTAGCTCTCCTGTAGCTCAAAATAATGTTACTGAGAAACGTAGCGATTTGTGAAATTCAAGCATTGCTTACTACACTTTTGTTAATTTGTTTTATATGTAAGTTGTTGTTCACTTTCTTTCAATTCACGTGTTATATAATTCTAGATATGGATCTGTCCAAGCTCTATACCAGGTACAACTATATCTGATACAATTGAAACAGTTAAGAAACTTCGGGAAATCGGTCTACAAGTAGCTATAAATAGTTCAGACAGCCGAAAAGCCTGTGACGATTTCTTGTTAAACGTAAAATTGCATGACTACATAGATACCATGGTGTCAGCAGAAGATGCCGGTTGTCATCCAAAACCTTTACCACATACTGTGCTTCAAATCATTGACAAAGTTGGAGTAAGAGATTTTTCTTTTACTGTTTTAGGTTTTATGTAAATTATTTAAGACCCATCACTAAATGTTTTCGCATGTCAGAGTTTTATTAATATTTCTATAAGTATTGTTCGTTTGGTAGTAAAATAGGAAATTTATGGAAACTGTTTAAAGTTGTTATTCATAACAACCTTAAATGAATCTCAACCGTTAGATAAAGTCATATTTTATTTACTTTAATTCATACCTTTTGTGATCGTAAGTGAAATTCATTATCATTAGATGTTGATTTTCCTTTATAACAGCATTTTAATAAGTTGGTCAGCTTAAAGATGGTGGCAGCTCTCACATTCCCTTCTGAGGTTATAATAAAAATACCATCTATGAATTTAGACGTTTCTGTGAATTTCCTAGTGTTTTGGAGATTCGAAATAAAGCTATTAACTAGAATAGTGATCGCACTTTGAAAGAGTAACTTCTGCGAGGATAAATCATGTATAAACGTATGATATAATAACTTTGGATAGAAGTTGATATAGTGTTCTAAATGATAAGTGGTTTAGGAAGAAGAATTTTCGAAATCAATAGACTTTACATAATGTGCATTTATATCACTTAAAATTTCTTAGACTTAAATATCCTCAACTTAAATGAGAAATTAAATCTCACTAAGTGATAAACAAAACATTTCCATAAAATTTAATTTTCTCTGATCGCGGCATGTCAAGCTATAAAATTCATTGTTTAAGATTGGTTATTTATTGTCATACATGGCATAAAAACAAAACAGATTGATGGTGCTTTTTACATATTCTGCGTTAACCGTGTTTTCAACCACTTGAATGCTCATTAGTATATTTAAGACACTCTTCTGTTCTTATTGTAGTGTAAACCTGAAGAAACAGTCATTGTTGGTGATACACCTGCAGACTTAATCTCCGGTCGATCGGCTAAGGTTGGCCTTACTGTTGGACTATTGTCTGGATTTTCATCAGCAACCGATCTAATCTCCTATTCAGACCTAATTTTACCAAACTTATCTCATATCCCTAATATATTTATTAATTAAAGGTAGTTTAAAGGAAGAAATAAAATAATCCACAAAAGGATAATACAAAATCAACCAGTTCGTTGAGTCATATATTTTTTAAAGTTATGAATACTTCTTAGAAACTTTATTCAATTCTGATTTTCATTTCCTTTCTAATATCACAAAAGATGTAAACTTATTTTATAATTCCTTCTTCCAAAATATCTTCCTTGAAATTTTTTAAATGACAATAATAACCATTTTCCAATTATTTCCGATGACGGTTGTTATGGATAATTTAGATATCTAGTTGATTGATACTAATAAAAACATTTTAACTAAAATTCTTTTTTGTGAATTCGAATGATATGTTTGAGGGATTGTCTGTTGAAACTCAACATTTCTTAGTGCTTTTTTATTAGCTTCCATCATGCAGTGCTCACTCGTTTCCATTATTCAGTAACATGGGAGTTCAGATATACTGGCTGGGTGGTTGATATGATGCTTTAAGGATAATCACTTGCCAGTAACTTGAATACAATCCATGTTTATGACGTAATGATGAAAAGAAATTGAAAACCTCTTAAATTTTCTGTCTTATATTCTAGTCTGTAGATTTCCTGACTAACATCTAAGGAAACAATGGTCCGAATTCTGATTCAGCCTAGGAGTTTTGACAAGTCAGTCATTTAACAAGTGATTTTTAAAAAACTTTGCTAATAATGATTTAGTAAAAAATCAAAAATTACTTAGCTTATCTAAACCTAAAACGATTAATAGTTCACCAGTCGTTTAAGTGTACAAAAATCGACAGAACGTCAAGTCTCATTAATTACAAAGTAAATTAAGTAATCACTCGCACGAATATATCCTTATACACTGAACTGAATTAAGACCGTTTTAGCAGTACCATATTGGTTTAGCTATTTAATTATTACTATGTTCTAGACAATAAAGTTAACAACTCACGATTTCTTAAACTCAAACAAGTAGTTATTATTTATTACTTTCTGATGTTTTATATGAGTTCTTGCATATATCTATTAGCCAATATACAATAAATATAAACTCTATTTATCGGTGAGCATCTATTTGTAGCAATTATTTGCATTTTATTGAGTTTATTAAAGCTCTAGACTTGAAATGAAATATAATGTGAAAGGATTTAGTTAGTTAATAACTCTATAGATGTTTTAATATAATGTTCAACTGAAAAAAATGCTAATTTTGAGTAGATCACTAACCACTAAATAATAAAACGAATAAATTCTTTATTTCTTTTGTTAATATGAATTATGCAGGAAATCTTGAATCAATCGAAACTCACTTGATCTACTACATGATATTACTTTGTAAGGTAACGCTTTCAATATAAATGAGAATGTGATATGTTATTTAGTTTGTTCAACCAATATATGAATATCATTTATAGACTCTTTCTCTATGAGATTTGATGTCATCTGATTTAATGTCTTAGTATAGTGTACTTTAATTAAGAGTATTATTTTGTTACACATATTTCACAAACAGATGAAGGATTTATCTAACGATTCGTTATATGACGGTGTGTACTTTATCTTATATGATTTAATTATACTCAAAAATCTATCACAGAACTTCTATAGAACAATTAGATTTAACAACTCAATAGAAAAATGCTTATTCTTCCCAAGTGATGAATAATTTTAATAAGAGTATGCTTTCTTGTTTCTTGACTGTAGATAATTGTTTTTGTTCTTCATGAATTACTTAAATTCAGTTCTGGAACAAGGATATTATTTAAAATATTATGAACTTATAAAGCACCAATATTATCATAAACATATCACAAAACGTCTGTTTAAGACATCGTGTAGCGTAACTAATCATAAAACGCCGATAGTAAAATCCAATGACTTTAAGAATTCATATGAATACATTATAATTGGAGCTGGTTCAGCTGGATGTGTTTTGGCCAATCGTTTAAGTTTACCACATCCTAAAACAAAAAATTCTAGTAAAGTTCTGGTTCTGGAAGCTGGTCCTACAGATGTTGGAATCTCCAGATGGACAATTAAGATGCCAGCTGCTCTTATGTACAATCTTTATCACAATAAGTAAGCCATTTTGTTAGTTCACTATGTCAGTTTCCGATGAATAATAATTTTTGTGATGCCTGTATTGTTTATAAAACCTTTTATTCATTTGTTTACAATGTTTGAAATGAGTTGCTTTCAAGTTCAAAAAAATATAACAATGTATTACAAATAATTTAGTGAAAGAATTCTCACAATTCAGATTACGTCTTCATAGAAATTAAACTGCTTTGAACTGGTGATTCATTATGTTCTCAAGAGATAACCACAAGTGGTTTCTATAGATGTTTTGATTGCACCAAAGTAAGTCCTAAATAAATATAGTTTTGTCAGTGACTTAACTGGGGTAATCTTTGATAGCTATTTTATAATCATTTTGGTCTGAAGTTTGGTGGAATCTTTGAATAAAAGGTTTAGATTTTTCTTATGGTTCGGGGAAACTTTAATATCTCTAGTTTGCGTAAGAAATAGTGGGAAAGTATGCTAGACTATAAAATATCGGGTCTGGGAGATCATTTGAACATGGCTATAGTTAGAAATATAACCATTGATTTAAGTTTACCATTTGTGCATATTAGTAAGAATGATGAAATGATCACTTTCCATGTTGTATTTAAAAATATCAGTCACTTTTCGTCAAGTGGTGAACAACTGTTTCCATTTTTGTTAATGATGAGATAAAAAGCACAGTTTGATATGTTACTTAGCTATCTTTTGTTACTATTATAGTAGCTATCTAAAAGCTATATTCCATCATTTATCATGCAACGGATTGACTAACTTATTTATTTTCAACCTTTGAAATTCCAACCAAAAATAATTTGTAGATAATACATAACATTTACATACTTTACATTAATCGTTTACGCAGTTATTCTGTCTACTTTGCCTATATTCAAAGGTACATATTATAAGACATTATTTTAAAATTGCGGATTATATCACTGAGAAAGAAAACATTAATGAATAATTCATCAGGTAAATGTACTCCATATTCATACTAAAAGTATGATGCATATAAAGTTCGGGCTTGAGTTCGTGGATTGTCAATGTCGCAGCAGTGCATAAAATATTGATTCGACACCCCTTCTATGCAACTCCTTTAACTCAAAGGAAATGGATCGAAGGGGTGTCGAATCAATATTTTATGCACTGCTTCGACATTGATAATCCACGTATGATGCATATCTTTAATTCTATCGACTGAAGGGTCTAAAAGGGGTTAACTATCATCGTTTAAAAAAACCATGATCAGCTTAACATTATAATTATACTTTTATAGTTTATATTCTTACCCTTAATTTTAAATCATACTTTGATTTGCCATAAAACTTGTGACTAATCTTGAACATGGGTATGAAGTTGAATGATATCGAATTATTCGTAGTATCTACAATGGTATTTTTGGATGTGCGAGTTAGAACGACTAAATTAATTCAATTAAATAGTTATAGCTCTCCGTAAAAAATGCCAAAATTCTACCTCTTTATAGTTAGTACAAATTTTGTCAGCCTGATCAAATTAATTATCAGAGTTGTTCGTCGTCCCCATTTTTAAATAGCAATTTTACATTTTTAAGGTCGTGGAGAGTGCTATTCTTCATATATTTAACCCAAAGACTATAACTGTAGGATATACATTAAGATGAAATCATAGAGATATGCTGATATAATTGAAGTCAATGTAAGACACATAGATCGAATAATTTAATAAATAGGTTAACTGAATGATTAGACGTGAAACAGATTAGAGATCACGTTCCGATTTTGTTCGATTGAATTGAGTAAATCAATAAAATGTGATTGTTCTGTTTAATTATTATGTGATCACTGAGTAAGAAACTGATAGGACTATATCACACAATCTACTCTGATAACTACTCTCATTTCCATCAAAAATTACCTGCCTATCAAGTTATCACTTTTTGACAAATCTTCTTGTTCATTCAGAAACAATGACTTAAGCTCAAATCATCCTATCTTAAAATAAGATTCACTCCAGTAGCCTCTTATTTACGGGTTTGAAACTTCATTTTTGCTTCAATATTTACTTGTTATTTTGTCGCTTACGATAATCAATTAGTCTTTTATATGGATATATGTTGTCGACTTTGGAAGTAATTGAGATCAGATTATGATAAATAAATTATCATTTTGTTCTATCGTTTACCTTCTATCAGTATGTTAACGAGGTGAAAAGTATTGAACTCATTATGCCGTATACTTTCCGCGTACTATATTTATTCGGAGAATCTGTATCAAGACTTTAAGTACACCAACTGAATAATTTATGAAAAAATGGCTAATATCACAAAAAGTATGTTTTAAACAAGTGGTATTGTACCCATAGTCTAGTTTTTTGCTAGGATTTATGACGTGATAGAAAAAATTGGATAGTGATTTGTATATTGTCTATTTATAATAGAAAGTATGTTATTAGGAGTATATTTACTTTATTTTAACTATAGTATTCATTAAATGGTCTGATAATCATGATAATACTAATATTATTATAAACACTCAAATGTAATTATTCGTCACCAACCTCAGACAAAGCATGTTTGAGAATTTATTTATTACTGAACGAATCACGTCCATACTCTGAACAGAAATCACGTAATAGGCTGAATGTTTTACATAATTTTCGTAATGATTATAGTAATATTAATAAAGTGCATCAGTCACTTGTGTATTTATATGCATATCTATTTGTTGTTATTTTTTTCACATAACTATCTATGTTCCTGTCAGTCCACTAATGATTCCAACTACCCTGTTATATACAAAATACATATCAGTTTAAAGTACACAATCGACACAAAAGTATCACTGGTTATGATAAGATTTTTAAATGTCAGTTAAGTAGTCTATACACCTATATATGCATGTGATAGTATTTCAGTTATTCTGAAAAATAGACTAGAACTATCAGAGCTTCTAAGCTACTGAAGAATACGGTGGGCAGAAAATTTACATACGAATTAATACAGGAACTAGTAACAAACCAGTCATTCAGATAAAAAGTATATAAATAATAAAACAGTTTGTTACAACTAATTTTTAATAACCAGAGTGTGATTTAAAAATACTTCATTAAAAAGGTCTCCCTTTGGCCATTGATTTTGTAAGTAAAAGTCTAAGGGTTAATCCAGACCATAGACGCTGGATTTGATCTCAAGGTGCGGAGTAGTGGATTCGCACTGCTGAGAAGTTTCATGCTAGAAAGAAACGGTCGTCTAGCACTTCCAGGTTTTCCTAGCAGTCTAGCTAAAATCAGTTCGTAATCTAAACTGTAAATTTCTACAATTTTCACAAAAGTACATAAGTCAGGTTTATTGAATTATAGTTAATGAAAACATTACTTTGGTTACCAGATGCCTAAAGCGAACAGGAAGCAATCTCTGTTTAGATTCTGTGTTGTGATAATTGTAGATACAAACATAAAGTTACTATTTATTAAAATAAAATCAGCTCATACTGAGGCGTATGCTACTTGTGTCTGTCAATATAAGTAGTATATAAGACCAATCAAAAGTGGGATGCCTGGCAGCAGAAGGTTGAGATGATCAAATCGAAGAGAACGAAAACAGAGAGTAATTCTCATGGCAATGGAAAAACGAAGTTTGAGACAATGGATAAAGAATTCGCAAATGAAGTATTGAACGTACAGTTTTCATGATTGATGACAGGACTCTGTAATTTTGTACATAGTACACTGGTTGCTCGCACATGAGTGTACATTTATTACAGTACCATAAAGATAGTTTCATTAATAAAAATGAATGATTATGAGGAGGTTTGGATGGTTGTATCGTTTCATCTTGACAGCTAAAGCGGATCCACGTAGGCGATTCAGATACTGTCGTTAGAATATAAGAAATCAAAGCCTAATATAAATCAAGTAAGCATATTGCAATATTCCTGAGAGTTGACTGAGAAGTTTCTGTAGTGAGTAGTTTTAAAGCATTAAGTTTAAGCAGAATCTACTCCATAATAACTCCAACAGTGCTGAAGAATAAAATTGTAATAAAGCGTAAAGCTATTATGTCAATACGTTGCACAGCATTGACAATATGAGAAATTTCATACTTATATGTATATACTGATTTCTTTTTATAACATACCCAAAAATCAAACGTGTATAAACAGCACAAAATTGTCCTTAGGAAGCGTTACAACATAGCATACTAAAAGATGCAACGAACCAATCGAGTTTAAGGTTCTCCCAAATGGGAAATACGACATGAAGGTGAAAATTAGCTCTTTTGGAGCGAAAACAAAAAGTTCGAATGTATAGAATAAAATTACAAAAATAAGACATTTACCAATTGAGTTTTGGGGATCTCACATCCCCAACAATATGATTACTGATTTTTAAAGAATGATAATTGTTTGGATTCTAGATAATTCTTTTGTTTTGTGAGAAGTCAAAGTGATATAAGTAGTCAGACTATTTGGACTGTCACATCAATACCATTATAAAAGATAGATCTATCCATGTCAAGACTCGAACCGCCGGGATAAATATAATTGACCTGACGCTTTGTCACACAAACTTTGTAGTCCATCAATGAACGACACCTACAATTTAGTTCGCTTTAGGTACTTACGGTTCTACATCTTGCTTAAGTTCCAAGAATAATAACATGAAGTTTATGTATAAACTATCAGTTAACGACTAGAAAGTTACAGAAAACTCACAAGTTGACTCGCGAGGAGCAGGCTGGGTTTCGTTCCGGTCGAGGATGTATTGATCATATCTTCACCCTCCGCTAAATGTCAGAACACCGTCATACTTATCAAAGGCCAACAATCGTAGTGTTTCTTGATATCAGGGCTGTCTTCGATTCGTTAGACAGAACTGTTCTCTGGGATTGTCTATTGAAGAAGGGTGTGTTTGATAAGTTTATTAACATCCTGAAAGCATTATACACAAACACCTCAGGCAGAGTGAGGGCATACAACCACCTTTCTCCATTGTTCCATTCAGGCAGTGGGGTTAGTCAGGGTCGCCCAATCTCACCATTCCTCTTCAACTTTGCCATCGATGACATTCTGGAAACAGCTCTGACGGATGTAAGTAATGGTGGTGTGGATCTGTTGCCTGGAGAAAGACCTCTCGAAATTGAGTATGCGGATGATAGTCTTACTGTGCGATAATGCCCAAACCATGCAATCCGCACTTAATCAGTTGGCAATCAGTGTCCGTAGGTATGGTATGTGCTTTGCACCTTCGAATTGCAAAGTACTTCTACAAGACTGGCAGGATTCTAATCCTGTACTCACTCTGGATGGTGAGCAGATAGAAGTAGTCGAGAAGTTTGTGTATCTGGGTAGCTGCATAAGTGCTGGTGGTGGCGTGAGTGATGAGATCAATGCACGTATAGTGAAAGCCAGCGCGGTTTATGACAATCTGGGCCATCTTTGGCGCCTTCGTGATGTTAGTCTGGCTGTAAACGGTCGCATCTACAACGCGTCGGTGAGAGCAGTTCTGCTCTATGCTTGTGAAACCTGGCCTCTCCGAGTTGAGGATGTTAGACGACTCTCTGTGTTCGATCATCGTTGTCTCCGAAGGATTGCTGACATTCAGTGGTAACACCATGTCAGTAATGCAGAGGTTCGGCATCGAGTGTTCGGTCACAGAGACGATAATGAAATTGGTGTCACCATCTTGAAACACTGGCTTCGGTGGCTTGGACATGTTCTACGAATGTCGTCCCAGAAAATTCCTCGTCGTGCACTATTTGCCGACCCTGGGACTGGTTGGAAAAAGCGGAGAGGTGGTCGGTGTATGACATGGTGTCGTGGTATGAAAGAAAGCTGCAAAGGACTAGCTTCTGTTGGCCCTTCACGACTCCCTGGCTGGGGTCCGAGAGGCGGTGTAACACAGTGGCTAGAAACGTTATCAGATGTGGCTCAGAATAGAAGCCAGTGGCGATCCTGCTGTAACCTTCTTTTACCTTCATAAAAGTGGCTGTATCTTCCTTAAATGTAAGATTTCTTCTGAGTGTACCTTTTCGTCTCCCCCCATTATTGTACTTTTTTTTATTTTCTAATCCCCTAAGTTTCTTACTTTTTTTTCTCTTCAAATTATCATTGTTTTGTGTGGCGCATATATATTTGGTGCCCCCTTGTACCAATATTTATGTATTCAAATAATAATAATAATAATAATAATAATAATAATAATAATAATAAGATTCACAATGCATGCTATTATCAGTTAACACCCTTATGAAACATACAAATTATCATTGTTTTGTGTGGCGCATATATATTTGGTGCCCCCTTGTACCAATATTTATGTATTCAAATAATAATAATAATAATAATAATAAGATTCACAATGCATGCTATTATCAGTTAACACCCTTATGAAACATACAGCTTAATACACTGTAAATAATTTAATGACCGAATTTCCTTTGTTTCCTTGTAAAGATATCATTCTTAATCCGCAGTTTTTGAAAAATAAGTGGTTTCGTGATGTTTTATTGTTATTAGTTGCTTTCACTCTCGGGAAGTTATACTCTGATGCATGTTTATTGATTTAATTGTGTCCTTGAATTTTTCTCAACTGATATTATTTATAGATATAATTGGTATTATCACACTGTTCCTCAAAGACATATGAATGACCGTACTATGTACTGGCCTCGAGGTCGTGTTCTTGGTGGAAGTTCATCTTTAAATGCCATGGTTTATATTCGAGGTCATCCGTTAGATTATGATAGATGGGAATCTGAGGGTGCTGACGGTAATTAAACGATACTTTTTTAAAATTAATATTCTAATGATAAATTGTTATTGGATTCAATTTATAAAAATATTTTGGTCAGTTACTCCGTTTATTGTTTAAGTCAAATTCTCTTTAGACCTAAAGCTAAAGGTTTCAACATTGCGCTTTGTATTCATTCGGTACTGTTTTTGCTTGAATCTTCCCATTAAGGTTTAAGACTGCAATTGATCAGTCTGTTATTGGCATATGTGCATACTGTGCGTATTGCCTCGATATTGTCTTAATTCACAAGCTTTATAAGCAAAGATGGATAGTGGCTAGCAGTGGAATCTAGAACGCCTTGTATCATTTACAACTACCAGTTTGCTATACACGATTTACTTTAACATTTGGAAGACTATTAGTTATATTGTGGAGAATATAGTACAATTTGTATGTTTTGACATTAAATCTAACCTTTGATGACTGAAGTTGGAAAAGATATATGTACAAACTTTTAAGATTAAGTGTCCATGAAAAATTTTCCAGTTATTCTTCAAAAATCCAGTTTCACTCGAAGAATACCGAAATAAGTTTGAGCTGTATTTCACAGATCTTAGCACTTGACAAAGTGATTAACTACACATTATTTACATAAATCTCGTATTTTCTGAATCTATTCTCTGTCAAGCATTTGTTTTTTTTTTCATGTTGTATATGCACAGTATTTCTCGCTTTGAGTTTGTAAATCAGGTATCCTGGTATACCTTGATTGTCTACACTTCTCCATATCCTTTTCCCATTATGACTATTTATAAACATTCTTTAAACGTCTCCAAATGACACGTGTTTTTAAATTAAAATTTAGTTATTAAAATAATTCTTTTACGTTGTATGTTTTTCACTACTTGATAGTAGCTTACATTGAATATATGAAACATGGTCTTTGAATCAAAGTAAAAGAATGAGAAATATGTATTTCAGGAAGTGTACTGTATTCACCGTTTGAATGGCAGTGCATTATGGATGAGCGAAGAAAATTTATTTAGTATCAGATCTAAGCTAGAATTTCTACAAATACAAAGTTTCAAAAGTGAACGGAAATTCTAAGTATTTACTGTTTTCCTGTCTGATGATGTAGGCTTTTCTCCAAACGTTTAAAGGATGAAAACAAGGACCATTGTACTGAAAAATTGTCAAATTATCAATCTTTCATTTATGAAAATCTTCCTCATATAGGTTGGAATTATGCAAACTGCTTGCCATATTTTCGCAAAGCTCAGACTCATGAACTCAATGGGAATCAATATAGAGGTTCTGATGGTCCATTATATGTATCCAGAGCTAAAACTAATCACCCATTACATTCAGCCTGGATTGAGGCAGGAAAACAGGCTGGTTATCCGTTTACTGATGATGTAAATGGGTATCAACAAGTAAGACTAACGTTTTGACACATATGTTTCAGGCCTTCGTCATTTGATTACTATGACTTTCGAGACATAGTGATGATGTTATGCTTTTGGTTATTACGGCTTTTGAAGCGTGGTCTGTTTTAAGTTACTTTAATTAAGTACCATAAGCAGCTCGAGGGTCCTTCAAGAACTCAACGCACACAAGTGGCTAGCTTTGTGAAGAACAGCCTAAGTTCCAATAAAAGGCAATGAATCATGGAATTCATCCATACTTTGGTATCGGATATTGATCTTGCGAGGTCGAAGACCGAATAAACTTTAGAAATGTAAACCACTGGATCCCGATCTAATGATCTGAAGTTATCATGCTTACTTTGAGACTAAATGGTTCTATGTTGGATTATGTCCAGGGACACTCTTGGTGGTTTGCTTAATTGGAAATAGAAAGTTGTTCAGTGATCCGTATCTTTCATTGTCCATCTACCAAATGTCAGTCAACAACGATAACAACGTCAACATTTTGTTTTGGCTAACATCACTGAATAATTCTTTATTTTATAGTCAGTTAGATCAATTTGCTCATTAAATTTATCCTAGAATAGAATTAGAAATCTTTCTGAGTTTTATCCAAAAACCCATTGCTTATGGGAATAGTAGTGAAATATCTTTCATAGATTAAAACAAAAATAAATGTTAGTTTAGAAAGCTTTCCATCACTGCTCATGATAACTAGAAAGTAAAGCACAAACGTGTTTATAGTCGAATTAGTTTCAAAATATTACAGGATCTTAACTCGGAATCATTTTAAGTATATTAGTGTAACAGTTAACGTCACTAATAATTTGTACAAATAGCCAAACTACTATTATCTGGTCTAGTAGTATTCTAAGTTTTAGACTAATTTGTGAGGACTGGATACAAAAATATTGTAATTCCGATTTTTTAAATGTCGAAGAATTAGCTATTTACTTAGAATTTAAACCACGTTAGTCAATAAGAAACAAATATATTAATACTATAGAGTGTTGCTCAATCATTTTCTTAAAATGAATTTCGAATATAAGTGTGAATATGGCTTTTGTATGGACCATAATGTTTTGTGTTTTTATGTAACTTCAGAACTAATGTATATCCGTTAATTGTATCAAGATAACTGCGGTGTTTTATCACACGGCATAAATTATGCATAACGAAATTTTGATTTCAATCACTTTTAAGATACTTGACACTTGATGAAGAAAATTTAACTGCTTAATGGTACATATACAAATATTTATATTCCTTTGTATTTATTGACGTCTATAACGTAATTTATTTTCGCATTTAAATGCTGATAAATGGATTTTGACGCAACAATTTTTAAGGAGGGCGTGGGCTACTTTGATATGACGATTAAACACGGCGAAAGGTGTTCAACTTCCACAGCTTATTTACATCCAGCTATGAAGTCTAGTTCTAACTTAACTGTTGAAACAAATGCATTAGTCATGCAAATACTCTTTGAAAATAAAAGGGCGGTTGGTGTAAAATACAGCAAAAACGGCCAAGTTCATGAGGTATGAATGTTTTCTTAAAAGTTTAGTTTGAATTATTCATGGTAATTTACTTTTTATTGTAGTCGATAATGATCTACCCCTATAGGATGAGCTGTAATAGAATAGACTTAGGAAGGATGGTAAATTTACAGAGATGTGAGCACTCTAGTATCATTTTATCTATGAAGCATGTTTACAGTTCTAAATATTGTCTTTGAAGAACTAACGGTTTATAACCAACAAGTTGTTTCACCACTTTAATTTTCTTGTATTATTGATTTCCTTCTCTAATGGGCCAGTGTCTATTTGTGTTGCACAACATTTATAAACTATTTTTGTAAGACCATAGATTTGGTCTCTGACTGTGAAGCTGGGTGACACGGGATCGAATCCGTCAGGGAGCACCAGTTCCCGTAAGAATACAGGTACATTTTGCTGACAAGTGCCAAGTAGCACGAAACCCGGGTCCAGGGTTTCCTGTCGACTACCTCCAACCACTATCTAAGATTTTTTATCTGTTTATCTATATTACACAACCTTAGAAATTCTTCATCTTATCTGAGAAAAAATTATATCACATCTACAACATAAGTTCGAAAATTCAGTACGATCTTTGTCTTAGCCATTATCCTTTAGTCAGGAATTATGTTATGGTTAACTGGCACTAACCATTAAGGTGATTCATTTCAGAGCCTTTTGAACGGATTTAGTTTTTAAAATACAAGCATTTACCACTTAAAATTTTATTGATAAGAATAGATTACAACGTCAGAATCATTATAGATTCTGATATGTAGCACATAGTAACTTTACCCGGTATTGGGATTATCACAAAATACGAAAATATGAAGTATGAATGTTGGTGGGTACTGGAAGCAACCTAAAATGGGTAATTTCTTTTTTTATAATATTCCAACTCTCAGTTAGTTAATTATTTGTCTAAAAATACTAGTTTTATCTTTCACTTAATCCTAAAGTCTCACTTATTCTAACTAAAGACACACACAAATTTCGTTTTATTTTTTTCAAACTCAAAAGGCTAGAGCGGAATCTGAAGTGATCTTATCAGGAGGAGCTATAAACTCACCACACTTACTAATGTTATCGGGGATTGGTGATGTAGATTATTTACGCTCAATTGGAATAGATGCTTGGCATCATTTACCTGGTGTTGGACAAAATTTACAAGATCATTTAGAATTATACGTCCAACAGGCTTGTAAAAAGGTATTTAATAATATCATAATCAAGTTGTTTATTCAGATTGTATACATCATTGAAAATAGATTTATAATAATCGAGATTTATTAATAAACATTTCGTTTAATGCTCACAATTCCATGAAAACATAGGTATTCATTCGTGTTCGTAACTCACGTAATCAAGTGACTGATATCAACATTTAAGCATATATGGCTATCGTGAAATTTCTGTTAGTAATTTATGAAGGACAATGGTGAAATGTAACAGAAATATTTTATCTGATTTGTAACTAACTAACTTGAATATTAATAAGCCAAACTAATAGCTTCGTGGATCAGAAGAATATTGTTATCATGAGTCTTATTTCTTCCTTGTCAAATTTACAAACTTGCCTAATCATTATGCTTAAGCCAGTAGCATAATATACTTCACTATACATGCGAGAAAACCATACCACATTGTGTTGTATGCTAGAAAAAAGACTATAAATATTTAACATTTATTATTTAAAGATTTCTACATGTTCTTGCAATCCTTTAAACATTACCGTGTTTAAATTGTAATCACATATTTTTCAGAGTAGAGGTCAGCACTTTATTCTAGTAAGCCGTGCTGTGAAAACAGTTTTGCTCTGACAACTTTAATTCTCAAGCTGCCATAATATGATAAAGTAATATACAAAGACACAGCCAATCCAGAAATCCAAATAAGATATTTTCACTATATATGTAAATTATATTTGAAATAATCTCAGCGATTGAAATTTTAAATAATTCCAACGTTTCGTCCAGCTAACTTGTCTGGACTTCTTCAGGGTAATAATCAAAACCCTGAAGAAGTCCAGACAAGTTAGCTGGACGAAACGTTGGAATTATTTAAATTTCAATCGCTGAGATTATTTCAAATATAATTTACACATATAATGACTTCTTTATACTCGGCGCCCAATATCTGTCAAACTATTCGTTCTAATCTTGACGAATATTCGTATAAGATATTTTCACTGTTATACCAATGTTGTTTTCTCTCATCTTCCCATATATTTCTGAAATAATCTAAATAGAACGGAGCCTATCCTAAGTGGCACACAGTCAGGAAAGTGTAATCTATCTGGTTGGGTTAACCGTTTATTTGTAAAGTATAAATTGTTACTGTATACTGAGGTTTTGAAGTATTGACTTTTCCTATTCTTTTATGACTTACAAGTGATGTTTCATATTCATTTTAATATTTTTATTACTTTATTGAAGATTTGTATCAGATTTTGTATAAAGTTTGTTACATTTTTTCCATGTACTTATGTGCGTCATTTAAAATGTAGTTTGAATATTAAAATAACTGTATTTTTTTATTTTGTAAAGAAGGACAAATTAATATTGGATTTTTGTTAAGGATAATAAATGAATTCATTCTGTAGGTATTCAGAGAAAGTAAAATATATAAACTCTGAAATTAAGGGTTTATTGTTCGTTACCGATTCACGAAGAAAACTGCATACTAGTTCGCTCTTGAAGTCAAAATGTGTTATGTGTTTTGCCGTAAACAAAATAATTTAAACCTGATTAAAAATATATTATTTCTTTGTTGATATTTGATTAGAGTAGTAAATAAACAACTTTTCATAAAACAAACTCTGAATTTCTCGTTAACAATTACTATCTTTTTGCATAGCCAATAACACTTTACAAAGCTCAATGGAAATATCCACATATTATGGTTGGGATCGGTTTAAAATGGATATTATTCCGTCAGGGCTGGGCGGCAACAACTCATTTAGAAAGTGGTGGTTTTGTAAGAACAGAAGCAAATATTTCTCATCCTAACATTCAGTTTCATTTTCTTCCATCGACAATACATGATCATGGACGTAAAATGGGTGGTCAGCATGCATTTCAAGTAAGGATCTCACGCTCCCATTTTATTATTTTAGTTGCTAGTTTTCGCGTGAACGGTCTAAAAATAGAATGTTCCGATAAATAATGTATATGACGTCATTTTAAATGAATTAAAAATGTAAAGCTTGGTCACACAACTGAGCGATTATCGCTAGATATCTAAATTAAATCGAAGCTAGTATAACATATGGGAGGAACGATATGTAGTAAATTTTTAGATTGCTCCTAATGTTCTGATGCAATGTATTTGAGAATAATCTTGTCAAATACTATATTTAGTCTATTGACCAATGGCTTTTTCTGGATTTATTTGATTTGAGTGGTTAATAAACTTCATTTATTTCAGTAAAACGTTTTTAGATCCCCAGGCCTTTTGTGATAAAATTATGTAAGGGATAAAGTATATCTGGGATTTCGCATCGATTCTAAAACGAACCTTGGTGAATGTGAACGTTGGATGGTTGTTCCATGTTAAAAGTTCACATATTTTCAAACAAAGTTAATAAAAAAGTTTGTTCAGTCCCAGATCTCATCACAATTTTAAGTCAGTAAAGGTTATTTCATTTTGAACATGGAGTTATCATAACAGCTATTGTCAAACAATATCACCATTTCAAACTCAATAGTCAAAATGTTCTATTTATTACATTTCATGATATATATAGCTTTGAATAACTACAACACTTGATGCATAAATGTTCTAATACAAAGACGTTTTTAGCTCTGAGATAGCCTTTCACTGAAAAGTAGGTCAAAATCGATAAACTCTTAACTAGAAGATCGATCATTTTTTATGATGTTCCAGTTCAATACATTCAGGGTGGATTTAGCAGGAAGTTATAAACGTATATGCATTTATCATTACTTTTCAAAAGTTTCTATCTGTTTTGAGTGTTTATTTATTTTTTGAAATAAACTGCTCACTTGAACAGTGAATTTACTAGAATCACGTTTTATGATTGTAATTTCATTCATTATGCATAGGATTTAAATTTCAGTCGTTTAAAATAAACTCATTATATAGAATCAAGATGATATATTTCTCACTAAGTTTCAAAAAGTACCGACTTCAGAGGATGCATAGGGTGGTCAATAGTCAATTATTATGGAAGTGAGCATGACAATAAGAAAAAGTATTTAGTCAAAAGAATTAAAGTGGCTCCTTGTACAAATAAAAATGCATTGTCATTCAAGGAATGTGCGGATACTCATAACAATAAAAAAAATACAAACTTGATTTCTTTTAGGTAAATTGTCTACATGTTAATGAAAAACCGTACATGGATCAATGTGATCCGTTGAAAAAGTACTGTTCTCTATATATTAACAGGCCATATTTAGGACTACTTTAAAAGTAATAAATCTAATCTTTGTATTGTCATGTTTCAACATTTGATACAAATCGACACAAGCATCTTACGTACAGTTAGTTCATGATAAAAGCTTCACGTTAGTAATAATTAGTGTTTAAAGTGTGACTAAAATATAATTACAACAACATAGAGAAGAAGAAAAACTAGGTGAGTCATTGTCAATCTCTTCAAACCTATCTAATCCTTGTGGTTTTCTTAGTGATCTTATAAGATTACTAAAATAGTGTAATGAAATATCCATCCTGTCTACCGTTTTTATAGAAACATCATACGCTCATCCTGTTTTCAGTGATCACTTATGTACATTGTAAGAAAATAAATAGTAATAAAGCCAGAGTAAATCTGTCTCTTAAACTCTACTAAATGATTTCTGAAAATTGTGTTAATTAAATGCTGATATTACTCAACAAAGTAATGCCAATCTGTGTTTGGAGTTTTTAGTCATTGATGTTTGAAATTGATTACAGTAATATGAGTTCATTCACTTTTTATTTGTTAGCCTTAAACAACGTATCATCCCTCAACTTTCATTTGTTGTGTTATGTCACTTATTTCAACCATTGATTCTGTTATTTCTTCTTGATTTTAGTGATCCATCATTGTTGGTTTTTTAAAGTTTGAGTTTGTCAATTGATCTTTTTTGAGCTTTTCTATTGCTCAGCATTCAGACACAGTAATACCTGTAGTTCATTCACTTTTAATTTCTATATAACCAAGTCTATACTATTCATTGCTTCCGTTTTTAATGATATATTCTGGTTATACTTAGTCACATAATATATTTGATAACTTCATTTTGCTTGCTGTATTCGCGTTAGATAGTACTTAATAATTAAAATAATGGGCTTACTTCATTTGAGACGTAAATTAGGTTTTCAATTATATTAAAAGTAAGTAGAACTAGTGATGTTAAGCAATCGAATTAATAACTTGACTTAACATTGTACATAACTGTCCGGCTAGAAATAGAGCTTTTCTGAAAACTACAACATACCTTATAAAACCTATCTTGAAAGTTAATAAACGGAAATGAATAATAAGCTAAAAGTTAACATAAAATTTTACAATATAATCGAGTAGTTCGCACATTTTTGCAACTGAAACTTTATCAAACAAATTAATGTAATGTTTTTGATCAACATTGATAACATTTTGTAGGTGCATGTAGGACCAATGAGGTCAAGAAGTCGTGGCCAAATTTTACTATCTCCTGAAAGTCTAGGTTTTGCTCCAAAAATAGACCCAAATTATTTAGCCTGTGAAACTGATCGAGCTGAAATGAGAGCAGCCATACGTTTGTCACGAGAAATATTTGCTCAGCCTGCATTAGCGAAAGAATTTGCAGGCAAAGAACTGGCTCCAGGCGAGGATAAAGTATCAGATTCTCAACTGGATGAATTTGTACGTTCTTTTGGTGATAGTGCATACCATCCTTCTTGCACTTGCCGTATGGGTAAAAATCCTGATGGTCGTAAAGCCGGAAGTGATGATGAAATACACTGTGGTTATTTGGGTAATGGTAGAATAGAGGCAGCAGTTACGCAATCAAACTGTAAAGTATGGGGTATTGAAAATCTTCGTATTGTTGATGCAAGTATAATGCCATCAATTGTTTCAGGTAATTTAAATGCACCTGTCATAATGATGGCTGAAAAAGCTGCAGATATTATTATCAGTTCTCGAGATGGTGTTTCAGTTGTTTTGCCAGCTGATACAAATTCCTCCTATTGGAAACCACAGCATCCTGATAAACAACGTGATGGTGTTCCACTTGTATCCCATCATTTGATTTAACTAATATGAAGATAAAGAAAAATTGAGAAAATCTATTCAGTATATTAATTCCCTTGTTTTAGACATACTATTTATAAAACACACATTATCACACTCCCGAAAAACAGTTGCTTTCAAATAAATGCCTTACTTGTATTTCTTATTTCTTTTTTGTCAAAGACTTCTAAAGCTCTTGATAATAGTATTTTTTTTTAAAACTACATTTCCATATTGAAAGTGCTTATATTGAAATTACAGGAAATCCCATTGAATTAGATTTTTCCAAATATCCACGTTTTATTTTATTTTATTTTTGTTCCGTTTTGTTAACTTGATAACAGTTTTGATGATTATTGCAATTTCATATAATAGAATGATAATAAATAAAGTGATGATTTAACTATATATTTTTTCAAAAGTGAAATATGACTTCGTCAGTCTTCTACAACTAATATTATGCTAATTTTTCTAAAGAATCATTCTCGTAAGAAACAAGAAAATGCTTTCAGTGGTTGAGATCATGAGTCAATTGAAGCTAGACCACTGTGGAATACCTGGAAGCACTCCTCAGCAGTGTGTTTTCATTTGTGTTTTTATTCTAAATTAACGGTGGGATAGGTATTTTTATAATGTAACCAAGATTTATTTTCAACTCCTGTTAAGATTAGTTATTTTAATATTACATCACCAGTAAAAGTTGTTACTTCATTGAAATCAGTTCGCTTCAAGAAGTCAAGTCAATTGGACAGTTTTGGAAGAAATCAAAGAGTTAAATAGTAAAAGTGATCACCATTTAACACTCAACATAAGATTAAAACACCAAGTCAAACACTAGTGATCAAGTTGTTTAGTTTACTTTCGATGGGAACAATGTGACATTCGCCATTCTAAGACGCTCAAGACGTTGCTGTGAAGCGTTTTTGTGTATTTGTGTTTTTCAAATATTACTAATGAATGAAAGCTCTGAGATTCCTAGGTTTATGACTGATACAATGTGTATTCAGTTAATAACTCTAGATTCCAAAATAATTTTGTCTCTGACTATGAATTTTACATATCTTAAACTTGAGTTTAACAACTGCTCTGAAAAATTCTCCGTCGAAAACGTTTATTAACCACATCTTTTCAAATAATGTACTTTTATATTTCATTATACCCTTTTCTTAACACTAACGTGACCGCTTCTGTAAATTGATGTCCATACTGCCATTTTTCTTAGCATAAAGGATATATATATACTGTTGAAGAGAAACCAAATGTGCTACGTACTACTCTGACGAAAAACGGAAACCCCGCAATGTCTTCAAACTAGTACTCCATAAAATTCAAAATAAGACACATTAGATCCGTAAATCATAACTAGATATTTATACGCCTACAACTTAGTGGAAAAAAACCTAACATAACGGTATTTCAGAGATCATTCGAAATAGCTCTAAGAACTTTTAGTTCAGGAACGCTACAATTAATGATTATCATGCATTTGATGGTAACATAGGGTGAAAATGAAGTAGCTATATTGGTTCCTTACATTTATCAGTTCAACGTCTGTAGATTGATTTGACCGATATTGTAAGAATTAACATTTCCTTTAAAAATACAAGTTAAGAGAAGAAATATTTTCCAATTTGTTTGACGTCATTGCTCTAGATTATTATACAAGTCTGTAATTAAGTGTGAAATGAGTACCAAATAAATGGTGGTGGATTAATTAATTAGTAACTCAACTGATTCAAAAATAAAAATAAAACGAAATTATGTAATCGGTTAATTACTGGGACTAGTTACGTAAGAATATAAATAGGAAATGTTTAAGATTATAATTAAGCAATTAAATATAACTGTTTCATGCTCTTTAAGAACATATTACAAAGAAAACTAGTCGAATTAGTGAAACAAATTTCTCAAGAATAAGGCTAGAAGGTAAAATTCAAAAAACGGAAATAATGTAAGGACAGTAAGCGTATTTAATTAGAACGACAAGATTAATAATGAGGCTGAACAAATACCTATTCATAAAGATTAAGTTTATTCATATGTATTTCTATGACGTCTGCTGAACGTACAAGTCGAATTCCGGAAGCATAGTTGAAGTTTTTCGCAATCCTATGGATGGCTTTAAAAGTTAACTTAGTGTCGATGAGGTAATAGTGCCAACTGGATCAGTCAGAATAGCACTCCACATAGTTTTCTTTCGTTCTCCGGTTAACTGTGGGGGGGGGGTGATGCTCAAAAATATGATGCTGTATTTACTTGATTGCACGCATAATGAAACTGGCTCCACAGAAGCTGTTAACCTGGTAAATGTATTTAAAGCCAGAGGGACTGGTCAATTTAGCCTTGAACCTTGAACTCAATATTAGCTGGCTGAAGAGAGAAAGACATAATCTTACTTCACTGAGTTGTCATTTTTACGTGTTTTTTATATCTCGTATCACTCTTTAACTGATTATATCATCTTTAACCGGAACTTCAGAAATTAAAGTGTTTTTGGTAGTGTTGTTGACTATAATTTGGACGTTTTGCGTATATACGTTTAGTTAGGAACTTTGACACATACAATTCTTTACTACATAAATAATGTAAAAGTTTTAGGTTTCTTTTAGAATGCATTCCTAAAGTAAATTGTTTTCGTTCTGTAAGCCCAATATTCTATTAAACTTCTTTAATAATAATGCATTGGGAACGAAGATTTTATGAGATTTTTTTAGTGTTATAGCAAGAATATTTAATACATTAATAAACACAAAATTCAGCAAGGCAGGAAACCCCTGTATTACTTGAATTAGAAATGGATTCAAGTACACAAAAAATACTCCTTATTTCATTAATTACAAACTCTAACAAAGCTATTATACTAACAATCATAAAATCAAGTTTTGTATTTTAAAAGTATCTCAAAATTGTCTATTTCTATCAATGTCTGTCGACATAAGTAGTATGCAACACCAATCGGAAGTCCAAAACTTGGCAGCATAAGACTAAAAAGATGGAGTTGAAGAGAATATAAAAGAAAATAGAAAAGAACTGTGGACTAAAAGATTCATACAGAGTGTGAAGAACAATTAATGGAAGTTTGAAAATGAACTATTCAGTGTATAGCTTTCATATCTTGCCAAGAGATTCTGTGATTCTGTATTCAAATGCAATCAGATGTTACCACCTAAGTCTTCGTTCTCTGTAGTACTGTTAGTAAAATTTATGATAAGGTTATAAATTTATTTAGTTATATTTTGTTCAGAAACGAAAGCAGATTTCTATACATTCTCCTAGGAATATTCAATGAATATATCATTCTGTGTAGAAATCAGGCAACCTGAGATGATTGATGTAAAATGATGTAAAGGGGTTTTATAACATTTGAGCGCATAAATAATGATTTTGAACAGATTTAATTAGGTAGTGGAACACTTTTTTTATTCTGACATTTGCTATAGTCAACGTAAAATCTTTTGAGACATATTTCAGTATTTTCTTGAAAATCATAGGGAATTAAATATTCAAAATAAATATACGTTTCGAAAAGTGAAACAGCTGTTTGATGTGAACCGCATACTGGAAACATCATTAGTTTAACACCAAAATGTTGTTTTGTTTCTAAACTACATGAACCTTCACATATCAACCACCGACGTGACAACATTTGACAACACAATATCTAACATATAGATTTGAAGACTAATTAAAAAACAAAGAATATCATCAAGTTATTCAGATTTGAGTGTTATAAATTCATAAGTATTGTGTTACACTAAATAATTGCTATGTTCGTGATATTATGATATCATCAGAGACCAATGAACAGAATGAAAACTAGCAACAGGATGAAACTAAACTATTCATATGCGCCTCAGCCCTGCTATTTAGAGGGAGGCCAGACTTAAGACAAATCAACAACAATGCAGACACGTTTCAACTTCTCATGCGTGTCAAGCTATATGAAACTTTTTTTATTTCCACTAATGTCTGTTACTGAAAAGAAGTCTACACGTCTTTCCAAATAAAGCCGATTTTTTAAAGTCTCTGTTTTAAGAAATATTTTATGTTCATCAGAACTAATATTTTAGCTAAATTTAAAATAAAACTGATCTACTTTGATCAATTTGTGTATGATTTACTAAACGAACCTAAGTGATAACTAAAAGTTAACTACTGAAGTTTTCTATGTAAATGGTTGAGTATAATACCAAAACAGTGCTTTCTAAAATGACATTGAGAAAGTTTCTTATTCTTTTCAGCTCATCAGAAAACAATGTATATGAGCGAATGATTTTTAATATAAAGTGGAACTTACAAATTACGTAATGCTTTCAGATGAATAACGAATATCTTCCTTGATCAATTATCGGTCTTTTTGTCGTGAATTCGAAAAACATCCAATAAACACAATTATATACTGGACAATATAATATCCTGATTAAGGACCCTTTATATAGTTGTCAATAGTTTTAAATAAACAATGTCAACTTAAAATGAGAAAGCTCTTCTGCTTGAATTCCTACTGCAACAAATATACTAAAAGAATATTACTCTATCTAGTAGTTATTCACATTCATTCTCAGCTATTACACCAAAGTTGCAGACGAATGTTTCCCATAACAATATAAAGTTATTATTATTATTATTATGATTAAGGACTCCTCATGTAAAATTAACTATAGCATAATTTATGATCAACTTTTCGAGTTCGATATACGACCTGTAACTTTGAAATCTTTTTTTTCCACTTTGATTGTATCTGTATTATACTTTAAGTTAACAGTTATGGAATTGGTTTATATAATTAAATGGAAGTACATGAAATTACCAAATTAATCCACAGAATGCTGTAAATCTCTGCTGCATAAAGTTTATTTTTTTTATAAAGATAAGCACAAAATGAATTTTTATTCAGTAATATAACAACACTGCTGATTGTTAAATTTAGATAATTGCTTTCCATAACACTTGTATATCTACTTTTGTTAATTAGCTTATTTCAATTAAGGATCTATCAATAGGGTAATTCTATCATTCTTCGTGAACCATATGAGTTAAGTATCCAAGATTATATTATTTGTTTTAACGACTGAATAGTTAATTTGTTTATAACAATAATAGTTTAATTTTTAATAAACAAAAGATTTGATTATGAAAGCTAAGATAAGTAATCAGTAAACCAACTTTGAAAAATATATACAATCAATAACAGCATTAAAGTATTGCGTCATTTTGTCAAATTGGCAAACGATTATTTAAGATAAAAAGAATTTTCACGTAGTCTTATTTTGTAGACGATTTCAGTCTACCCATTGATCAAATTCTTTTTTCTTTTTAAATAAACATAATTAGACTACTTTTTAACAAGACTCATATCTAAACGTGGAGTTGAATATAATAAAATCTGGGAACTCCATATTAATGCATTATGTAACCTGGAATGCATTATTGATCTCACTGTCTGATACAAGTAAACAAGCTATACAGTTAGACCATGTTACTACAATAAAGTTT